GATAAGTGTAGTAAAAGGTTACACGATGCTGCATTCATATTCGTAGAATATGTGCTTCGACAATTAGAGAATTTTATGCCCTGGAAAATTCACTTTCCTGCTCACCTAGAAATTTCAGCTATACGCTACTAAAAAACTGGTCAGAGACGACGAGCATAAATAGGACACAAAGAGATGGCGGTGATTGGAGGTGGATTTTTTCAATTCCTCCCTAAATTTTAGCTAAAGAGGTGGTTTAAGGAGCCTATTATAGATGCTCTTATCCTCCCACAGAGAAGGTTTCAAACCCAAAGAGGTGCTGGTGAGGACAGAGAGGAACAGAGAGATGGCGGTGAGGATAGTGAGGAGCTTCGAACCCAGACAAAAATCGGAGATTCGCTGAGTTTGAAATCATGTTTGTTTTTTACAGTCAGATTCTTGAAAAAAAAGAAAAAAAAAAGCCAGGTGAAGGTGGTTTTTTACCATCGTTGTTGGATTAACATTTGGTATTTTGGATGTTGATTATGGACTTCTTTGTAACATAACAGCTATAGATATTGAACAAATTTAAATATGGTGTTTGTGGAGGAGGGCTCTTGGGGTGTGGGTAAGGGAGGGAGTGTGAGAGGATGTAGTTCAGAGAAGGGGTTTTGGGTCGAGAGAGTCGTTAAGAGAGAGAAACGATGAGCAAGAGTTGTAATTAAAATTTGTTTTAAATCTGGACCATAGAAACAATTATACTGTGAAAACCAAAACTTCGTAACTAATCCGTATATTCGTACTCCGTAACGGAGAATAACCCTAACAAACTAACTAATTACAGCTGTGACATGTGAACCATACGTGCCAACACTAACAAACTCTTAGCTAACTGTCACTGTTATCAGGTCCTACATGAAAACATATTTCAATTGTGACTGGTATAGCTAATTTCTGATGGAGAACCGTACGTAGCAACCTCTTCAACTTTTTTACTTCTGTGGACACGAGACATTGCACGTCACTGGCCTTGTAGCCTTAATCTGATCATCTTCATACCGTCAGAGACCTTTTATTTATAATGCTAGGTGGCTTCTGGAGGCTTTGAAGTAACTAGCAGGCACAAGATAAACTAGCTGCTAGCATACAAAGCTGGACAACAAGAAGATGGAGGGCTATAACTTGGATGTCAGAAAAGGAGCTTGGACTAGAGAGGAAGATGATCTTTTGAAGCAGTGCATTGAGAATCATGGAGAAGGAAAGTGGCACCAAGTTCCTTACAAAGCAGGTATTAACGTAATATAACTCAGAGAGATATATGATATAGATGGTTAATAAATAGCTAGAGCTTAATTAATAGGCAGTGAAGCCTTAAATTAGTGTGTTTACAAGGCCTTAAACTTCTCCACTTATTGCCAATTGGTTGCTTTTAATTTTGTCTTTCACCGGCTAGGCCTAATAGTCACTAGTGCTCTCATATTTATGTTGTCTACGTGTTTAGCTCAAATGATATCACTCGTGAGCCGAGGGGTGCTAAGAGACTTATACCACATCGGGAATTTTTTGGATTATGCGTGGATGCAGGGTTGAACAGGTGCAGGAAGAGCTGTAGACTAAGGTGGTTGAACTATTTGAAGCCAAATATCAAGAGAGGAGAGTTTGCAGAGGATGAAGTAGATCTAATAATTAGGCTTCACAGGCTTTTAGGAAACAGGTACCAATAAATGTCTCTTTCCTTATCCCACATGGTTCTTTCATCACGTACCATTAAAAAAAAACTAAAATCCAAAATCGCTGACATGCATCTCGTGCTTTGTTGGGTTTCTCCAATATAGGTCCCTACAATTTCTATTTCCTAGACATATACCCATCATTTTATAAATCTATGTGTAAAACTCAATTTCAAACTTAAATGACCAGTAAGTTATAAGAGGTCGTAGTATTCCTATGTTTTTACATCCTTGCCATTAGACTTCATATTTTATTTATAATTTATTCCAAGCATTTCATTAACTGCCATAATTGTAATTAAAACTCCCTATTAATAGCATATCAATCACCCCATTTCTTTTGGTTGCCATTCCCTCTAACATATGGCCCCTTAAAATTGCAAATAAAAAAAAATGTAAATTACATATCCAATAATGTACATATGAAAATATAAATATAAATATATAAGTATAAAAATATAGGTATATTATTTACCAAAAAAAATTAACAAAATGGGTCAATTACTTTGTAATTGAAATTTCCGTATATTTTCATAAATTAAAAATAGGTACCTAATAATTTATAGAAAATAGGTACGTTGTATAATTGAAATTTATGCACATTTTTTATAAATTAAAAATAGGTACATTATTTAGAAGAAAAAAATAGGTTCATTATACGAGGTAAATTGTTTTACTAGGTATACATTATTAGAGAAAAAAAAGTACATTGTTTAGAGAAAAAAATAGGTTCATTATACTAGGTAAATTGTTTTACTAGGTACATTATTAAGAAAAAAATAGGTACTTTATTTTGAGAGAAAAAATAGGTACATTATTTTGAGAGAAATACATTATTTTGAAAGAAAAATAGGTACATTATTTGGAGAGAAAAATAGTACATTATTTTGAGAGAAAAAATAGGTACATTATTTTGAGAGAAAAAACAGGTACATTATTTTGAGAGAAAAAATAGGTACATTATTTTGAGAGAAAAAATAGGTACATTATTTAGAAAAAAAAATAGGTACATTATTAAAGAAAAAAATTTTAAAATGTTTTTTTATAGTTTTAATCTTATCTTTTTTAAATATATTAACATTTTATTTAAAACCACGTTGTTATATATTATTGAATGTGTGGCCCACATATATGTCATATTATCTTTTTAACATAAAATTTGACGGAAGTTGACGGCAGGGTTGATTTATTTTCTACTTTTTTTGTGTGTGCATCATAGCACAAATGTATTGATTTATTTTCTTATGCTATCTGTCGAAGGTGGTCATTGATTGCTGGAAGGCTTCCAGGAAGGACAGCGAATCATGTGAAAAATTATTGGAACACTCGATTGCGAACGGATTCTTGCCTGAAAAAGGTGAAAGATAAACCCCAAGAAACAATAAAGACCATCGTAATAAGACCTCAACCCCGAAGCTTCATCAAGAGTTCAAATTGTTTGAGCAGTAAAGAACCAATTTTGGACAATATTCAAACAATCGAGAACATTAGTACGCCGTCACAAACATCACCATCAGAAAAGAATGGAAATGATTGGTGGAAAACCTTTTTAGATGACGATGCTTTTGAAAGAGCTACATGCTATGGTCTAGCGTTAGAGGAAGAAGAGTTCACAAATTTTTGGGTTGATGATATGCCACAATCGAAAAGACAGTGTACCAATGTTTTAGAAGAAGCTAGGTAGAGGTGATTTCTCTTTTAACGTGGACTTTTGGAATCATTAAAGGGAGCGCACTGCTTCAATTGCAAGCATCTTTAAAAAACAACTCAGAGGAGGTTGCTTTTTAAAGCTGTGGTCAAAAGACCATTACTTTTAAAATAAGCAAATATTTTATTTTTACCAAACACCTTAAACTGCTTAACTTTAAAGTTAAGCAGATTTTTGATGAAAAAAAGAAACCCCAAACGGGCCCAAGTCTTTGTACTGTTGGGCATAGCTTTTTCCTTTTCCTTTTTAAAAAAAAAAAAAAAAAAAAAAAAAAAAAAAAATGAATGTGTGACTTTGGCATTGTATATATCATCTAGCTTCTGTACTTTTTTTGTTGTTGAAAACATCTAGCTTTTGTATTACTGTTTTCCTTTTGTTGATGTTACTTTAATATTCTTTTATCTGTCACATGAGACAGATGCTATGAGAAATAAAGCATAGTGATGAGCTGAATAAAAGTCACATGTATGTTTAGGTCTCCAAATTATACTTTTGCGATTTATTATGCATAACAACATTTGGTAATCAGTGGTTTCATGTTCGAACTCCCATAACACTCTGATAATGTGAATATGTGAAATCTCTTCCTTCTTATAGTTTAGACTATCGTTTATACTAAAAAAAAAACATAAACAAAAACCAAACAAAATATTATATAGGCAATCAATCTTGATAAACGGGATTTTCTTGAGTATGAAATTGTAGTCCACTTGTTACACTAAGTATGAATCTCGTTAGAACTCCTTCCCATTAATTCCAATTAAATTAATTGATATAAATTAAATTTTTTGGGCTTCCAGGAGTTGTGAACAACTAAACGTACATGTCATTTTTGTTTTAAACACATATGTCATTGATATACCCAAATTAAGCAGAACATTGTGAAGTTTTTCATTTTACAGTTGCAATGCGCAATAGAATTGTTCATTATATAACACACACCAATGACTATAAACTCTTGTCAAAACACATTCTTCTATGCGGATGCCCGAACATTAATATTGTGTGAACGCCATGTATTTTCTACTACTTCTCTTTGATTTTTCGGATGTTTACAACGGCGTCTGCACTGTAATAACTTATGGACGTCCACATAGGAGAAAAATTGTATATATAATATATGTGTATAGCTACAGCTTAATTAAGTAGTGAAGCCCCTGCATTATGTTTAATTATGTGGATGTGCATGCTGTAGAAAGACGTTATACAATTTTGCATTATGCATGTGTGCAGGATTAAAAAGGTGCCGGAAGAGCTGTGGACTAAGGTGTTTGAACTACTTGAAACCAAATATTCAGGAGACTTTACAGAGGATGAAGTAGATCTATTAATTAGGCTTCATAGCTCAACATCCACATCGTCATTATTGTACGGCAATGACTACTTTAGGCCCCATTTGGTATGCTTTTTTCCCTCAAAATTTAGGCCCCATTTGATAATGCTTTTTGTTCAAAAATATACTTTACTTTAAAATTGGCCAATTTAAGGTGTTTGGTAAAAATAAATATCTTCATTATTTTAAAAGCAATGACCTCCTAACAGCAGCCTTTAAGTGCTTTCATAAGAAGCATATCAGAGCTTTTAATGATTTTTTTTTATTTTTTTTATTTTTTGCTATCCTTCATCACCACCACCACTACCTTCACCTCAACTGCTACCACCACTACATTCGCCTCCCCTGCTACCACCATCACCACCACCAACACCCACCACCCACCACCCACCACCCACCACCCACCACCCACCACCACCTTCACCTCCACTGCTACCACCACTACCTTTGCGTCCACTGCTACCACCATCACCACCACCACCTCTACCACCACCGCTATCATCACCACCACCTCCACCACCGCCACCACATGGTTAGCATATAATACATTCAACTTCATGTCCATTTTAGTCATTATCCACAGTTTCAACAGTTTTATATTAAAATTTACTAAACGGTTTTGACGCTACTTTTTATACTAACAGCACTTTAAAATGAATGATGAGTCATCATCTAGTACAATGTCTTCCATTTGTGATGAGCAAAATCTACCCAAGTCTCCCATTGAGGGGGTTAAATGTTAGATTTCCACAGCAAACAGTTGAACTTCTTACTCTTAACTCAGCATTGGATCCTCATGATTCCTTCAAGTCTTTCAATATTGAGCATCTATGTAAACTTGCTGAGAAATTCTATCATGCTGATTTCCTTCCAAGTAAGTTGAAATCTTTATAGATCAAGTTGTAGGTTTTTTCAAAATGATATACATCGCCTTCCATGCTTTAAGGAAATCACCACACTTTCTCAGTTATGTCAACAATTGGTGGAAAAAACTTTGGTATAAAATTACTTTTTGTTTGACAGTTTGATTGAGTTGGTGTTGACTCTTCCTTCTTCTACAACAACAACGGAATGAGCTTTTTCATATATGAGAATTATTAAGAATCAGAGCACAATAGCTCATGAATTCCTTGTTGATTGTAAGAATCAGAGCACCATAGCTGATGAATTCCTTGCTGATTACGTGATCCTCCACATTGAAAGAGAGTTTGCTAATAGTATCGATAAAGCATACCAACACAAATTTTAGACCAGAATGAATTTTCTTTCCACGATCATCGTGTTTAAATAATTTTATTTGAGGGCACCATTGGGGTCTGTCACAAATATTATTAAATAATTTGAGTCGTCTTTTTTTTCAAGTCTTCATTCATAGAATATTCTAGCAAAATAATTAGACAAATTGAAAACCATTAAGACATCTAGTTGTCACCTAGGCAGTTACAAGATTGATTTGTGCTTGATTCGTTTTCTCATATAAGATACACTGTAATGTCAAGCTGTTTGTTTTCTTCCAGTAAGGCATCTGTCTCACTAACAGTGCTTTGTAATGGATGTGGGAGGGTTGGCAGTTGTAAAATCTTTTTTTTTTTTTTTTTTTTTTTATTTATTTATACTTACACAACTCCTGAGGTTTTTAGTTTTCTCACAAAATCCCCTGAAGTTTTTCAAATTACACGAACACCCCCTCAAGTTTCAGTTTGTTTTCGCATAACCCATTTTAGTTGATTTTTCGTCCAAAGATAGATGATTTTATACAAAAATAATAAATATTCAAATGACAAAGTTGGTCGTTGAGATTAGATTGCTTAATTGAGGTTAATTTTATATTTGTATAAGTTTTTTTTCAATGAAATTATCAATTTTTTGGACGAACAATCAACAGAAAGGGGTTTTGTGAAAACACACTAAAACCTCAGGGGGTGTTTGTGTCATTTTTGAGACATAAGGAAGATTTGTGAAAACACCAAAAACCTGAGGGGATGTTAGAATAAATAACTTCTCATTTTTTTCTGCTAGAGTTATTTACAATGACATCACCAGCGAGGTTACAAATTCTTTTCACTAACCCCTTCCTTTAATTTAATGTTGAAAATTTTATCATTTCATAAAGAATACTTCTTTAAAATGACAAAATTAATTTAAACAATTAGACTTCATGAATGTATGTGCAATCTAATCTCTTAATTAACTTTGTCATTCGAAGAATTTTATTTTTATGACAGCACCAATTGTTAGATGAAAAATTAACACATGGAGTTTTGTGAAATCAATTTGAAACCTCTAGAGAGTGTGAGTGTAAATTTTGAAACCTTTAGAAGTTTTGGGACCCAAAACCTCAAATGGAATAAATATCTATTTGACATCAAAGAAAAGGATCCGTAACATACAAACTTGTTTTTGTTTCGTTACAATAGAAAAGAAGCTTTAAGAGAAGCACTTAGGATTCTAAAATTTTGGAATCAATTAGACAAACCCTCGCAATTTTTTTCATCATTAGTTAAACTGTTTTTTCTTTTTCCATAATAAAAGTATCCTTAAATAACGAAAGAGTAGCTTTTCTGAACCTTTAACCTCAAGTTTAAACAATATAATTACCATGCAAAACCAAAGAAATTAACATTAATAATCAGATTTTCCACCTAATTGCACATCGATCCAAACGCTATCCCTCTATCCCTCCAATTAAATTATGTAGCTTCCTCTTGTTCTTCATGGGCATAAATTCTATGTTTGCTAGTGTAGTTTCCACCAATGCCCCGTCTAAACTACAAATCAATCGGTCGTGTTTGAGCTTTTTGAATAAGGACATATCTTGTTTGAGCTTTTTGAATATTATCTTTTTACTTCCTATAAATTATTGTTTTCCTCTTTCAACTTAATCATATATCGTCCAATATTATTCTTGTTGAAGTCCTCCTCATTTTTTTTTTTTTTTTTTTTTTTTTTTTTTTTTTTTTTTTTTTTACTTTTAATAAAAAAGCGCTTAGTATATTGTTAAGTGGAACATTTACTCATACACAAGTCCTTGATTCGATTCCCCCTCTCCCAATATTTACGACTCTGGTTAACACTCCACCAACTTTAGCTCAAGTAAGTATTACAATAATTTGAGGAAACAATGTTAGGTGTTTTAGTTTAGTGGTTTGGTACTTTAATTGTCACGCGAATCTTTGTTTTCATTTTCATAAACCAGACACAAAAAATTACAAACTAACACTTCAAAAGTAAGGCAGCCTGTTGGGTTGGGAGCATGCAGACAAAAAAATCAAGAGCAGGATTCTAGGTGGGTAAAGATGCGTGTGTATAGTAACAATTTACACGATGCTGCATTCTTATTCTTACAACGTGTTTTGACAATTAGACAATTTTGTGCCATGGAAAACTGACTTTTCTGCTCATGTGGAAATTGCAGCTTTCTACATATAACTTTTATTTTTGTTCGTAATACATATAACTCTTATATATATATATACACAGTCCGCTTCTATTGAGGGATCCATCAGATAATTTTATTTGAGGGACACCCTTTAGGGTACCCTACAATTTTTTTTTCTAATGATCCAAACCATCTATTTTTTAGGTCTTCGTTCATAGATCATCTTTACAAAAAATTAGACAAATCGGAAACCGTTTCGACATCCAATTGTGTCCTACAAAATCAATGAACACGGTGCTTCAAGAAAATACTAAAATTTCAATAACTCAATTGAATAGTAAAATGATATCGGATTCAAGTGATTTTGTGAAGCGATGATCTTTGAATGTGTATCTACAAAATAGACGGTTTGGATTAGTGAAATACAATCCGAAGTGGGCCCTAAAAGGGGTGTCCCTCAAATAAGCTTATTTGAGGGATCCCTCAATGGAAGCTCTCTGTATATGTACCCACTCCGGATTGTATTTCACTAATTCAAACCGTCTATTTTGTAGATACACGTTCAAAGATCATCTCTACAAAAAATCACTTGAATCCGATATCATTTGACCATTCAATTGAGTTATTGAAATTTTAGTACTTTCTTAAAGCACCGTGTTCATTGATTTTGTAGGACACAATTGGATGTCGAAACGGTTTCCGATTTGTCTAATTTTTTGTAAGGATGATCTATGAATGAAGACCTAAAAATAGATGGTTTGGATCATTGGGAAAAAAATTGTAGGATCCCCTAAAGGGTGTCCCTCAAATAAAATTATTTGAGGGATCCCTCAATAGAAGGGGACTGTATATATATATATATATATATATATCCCTTTCTATTAAGGGATTCTTTAAATAATTTTATTTGAGGGACACCTTTAAGAGTCCCCTAAAATATTTTGTCAACAATTGAATCATCTATTTTTTAAGTATATATTCATAGATCATTCTTGTAAAAAATTAAACAAATCGGAAACCGTTTCGATATCCAATTGTGTCCTACAAAATCAATGAACACTGTGCTTCAAGAAAGTACTAAAATTTCAATAATTCAATTGAGTGGTCAAATGATATCGGATTCAAGTGATTTTTTGTAGAGATGATCTGAATGATATCACAAAGTAGATGGTTTGGATTAGTGAAATACAATACGGAATGGGCCCTACAAGGAGTGTTTATTTGAGGATCCCTCAATGGAAGCTCTATGTGTGTGTGTGTGTGTGTGTGTGTGTGTGTGTGTGTGTTTTCACAAAATTCCTTGAGGTTTAAGAAATTATACGAACACCCTCTAAGGTTTTAAATTGTTTTCACAAAATTCATTTTCAACCAAAGATTGATGATTTTAAAAAAAAAAAAAAAAAAAAAAAAAAAAAAAAAAAAATTCCCACAAATGACAACATTTGACATTTGGAGATTGGATTATATTTCATTGAGGTTAATTTTTTCATTCGCATAAGTTTTTTTTCCAATGAAATCATCAATTTTTGGACAAACAATCAACGAAAAGAGGTTTTGTAAAAACAAACTTAAATCTCATGGAGTGTTCGTGTAATTTTTGAGAGCTGAGGGTAATTTTGTGAAAACACAAGAATCCTCAAGGGGTATTAGTGTAAATACAAATATATTCTAATAATTTGACTGGTAGCTAATTCACAACTGAGAATAACTGTTGCAATCCTTTAAACTTCGTCACTTTTTGCTTCTGTGGATATGAAAATACCTGTAGGATGACTAAAAATGCCTAGAGGGGGGTGAATAGGCCAATTTAAGATTATAATCAATAAACAAAAATTAAACTTCAGTAGCAGGATTGATATGGCTTATCAATCCTGAAACGTGCTGCATATATATAAAAGAACACACAAAGAATTATTTTACGTGGTAAACCCCACCTCTGGGGAAAATCCACGGGACTCCTCAGTCCAACACAAATCCACTATAGAACGATGATTACAAGAAGTACTCACACACTTTTCCTAAACACATTCTAGATAATGTTTACCGACTTCTTCATAACTCAACTTCTGTCACATGATGATCTTTGACACTCCTTATGTTGAACGCAATACTGGTCACGATTGCTTCAAATTCGCTGGAGGAAAACCACCACCACGGTCTTAGTGCCCTTAACCGTATGAGTCACC